TGTTTGTTTATGGATGTACATGTGTGAATGATATTCAAGACGCCTTGTATAATATGAATGTGTTGGACTGCGGTTGACTATTCGTATTGTACGGCGGGTTGTTGACGTGTCCGGATAGGTCCGGGGCGTGACATTTACAGTTTGAACTACCAATGGACATCTTGTAATAGTAGAAGCATACTGCACAACTACTATTAAACCATACATTCCACACACACAAAGTCACAAACTGGAAGACATTGTTTCTGCATCACAGTATGCATAAACTACGACATCATCATAGGGGCATGGTCATCACAGTATGCAAACACTATACATCATAGGGGCATGGTCATCACAGTATGCAAACACTACCACATCATAGGGCATGGTCACAGTATGCAAACACTACCATATTCATAGGGGTTTCATCATAGCATACCAGGCATAATGAACCAGAACACAGACCTCCTACTTTCATCACAGTTTGCATAAAGAACCAGTACACATAAGGTCTACTTTTATCACAGTATGCATAAAGGACCAGTAGGGATGCTTCAATGACAGTATGGATCATTTAGGTATACATAAAGGACCAATACACACAAGGTGTGTATGCAAATCACAGTATGCATAACTACCATTACTCATACCAAACAACCATATACAAGCCACATGCATCACATTAAACATCAATAAAACCAATTTTCATCATTGCTTCCCCCAAAAGTCACACATAGGACACAGATTACAAATTAAACCATAAATAAAGATAGGGTATGGAAGAAACTCCCCTAATCTGTGTCCACATCCCACATGCGTGTTTCCCATTTCGGTATCATTAGTTTTAGAAACTCTTCCAACCGAGGACTTCTCCGAATAGGATGCATGTCGTTGTCTCTGCGTCTTTTGAGCAGATTTGGGTCCACCGTCTCCCCCATAACCTCTGTAGGCTTCTCAATAACATCCTTTGCAAGCTCGTCTTCACTGTCTGGGATTATGAGGAGGTCATCCTCTTCCGGGGAATTTTGAGCCATGCACCTCGGATGGAGTTCCGATACAGGGTCTGCAGAATCCCACGCCACCCCATCCTCCGGAAGAAGACCCTCTTCACTGTCAGGGACAATGACATCTTCAATAATCTCCCTCGCAACCTCTGTCGGCGTCTCACAAACATCATCTGCAAGCTCGTCTTCACTATCCGGGATTATCAGGAGGCCATCATCTTCCGTGGAGTTCTGAGCCATGCAGGTGGGATGGAGTACCGAAACAGGGATTGTGAGGCTATTGGGGTTTAGATCCAGACGATTGTGAGACGATGGGGACAGGGAGGGAGGCAATTATACAGAGGGGGAGACGATGGAAGTAAATGAGAGGGGGAGACGGTTGGAGTAATTGAGAGAGAGAGAAAGAGAGACCGACAGTCACAGAGAAAGAGGGAGGCAGTGGGTGTAAATGGGAGAGAGAGGCGGATGGGGTAAATGAGAGGGTAGGCAATAGGGAGTATTTTTAAAAGTGGAGGGTAAATTGGGGTTTTTAGTATGAAGTGGTTTCCTTTTTAGGAAAGTTGGAAGAATTTTCTGGGACGGCCCAAAAAGAAAAACTGGAAGAATTTTCTGGGACGGAGGGAGTATTTCATAATTTGGTGTAACTTAAATCCTAATTAGTATACTAGCAGTATATATTATGTTTATTCCTTTGTTACTTATTTCTTTTATTTTATCGCATCGTAAAATAATTAATAATACTAAATAATTTATTTAAATTATGTTAACAATTTTTTATCAGGCAGATTTTACCTTCTAATTATTTTATTAATTTACATCATCCGAGTTATTAACCAAGTCCAATATCCACAACATAATATATAATTCTCGTATTATAATTGGTCGAGACTAGAATATCAAATACTCGTATTAATTATATTAAAATTTAGACTTATTAAATAGTTGGGTCGTTAAGTTGATTTACATGAATTTAATTTGATAAGTAAAATCTGTCTATCTTAATTTAATTTATTAAACACGAAAATAGTTATTATTGCATTATAATTTATTTTATTATTTTAATTAGTCCGTCTAATAGTTTTCTTTAGATTGTATATGACCATCCCGTGAACATTGATAAGGGTGGGTAATGTTTGATAATTTAGGTACTTGGTCATAAAATTAGTAGAAAATGACATTTCTCAAAACACCAACTCAAAACTCTCCTATTAGCAGCGTTTTCATTTCAGCGTTTCCGTCCAAAAACGCCGGTGCCGAACAATTATTTACCAAACAGCTTTTTCACTTATTTAAAACGTTAAAAGTGGTCAAATCGCTGTTTTTCGGCTGAAACGCCGTTTACCAAACACTCCCAACAATATACTCCGTATAACTTATATTAACATCCTCCTACTCAATCATCATTATCCATATTTTCTATTCTCGTCATTACTTTTTATTATCATTTATTTTTTTTGGGAGATTTTATTATCATTTATTAATATTGCTATTAGCATTATTATTATTAGAGCATCCACATTCATGCTACTGAAATAAACAGATTTTTTAATGACACAAAGTTTTTTTTCAAAATAATCTCACGCCTTCTAAATTACATCGGTCATCATATCAAAATAATAAGATCTTTTATAGGTCCTACATTCCCTAATTAATACTAGTTTCACAATAATTTTGAGATAACCTGGATTCATATTTCAATCCCGAATTATTTTTTCAAATAATCTCACAAAATAATCTCCATCATTCAATCATGATCCCAAAAATAATCTGTCACATCATCAACTAAATCCTCCAATAATCCTATGTACGGAGATGCCCAATAATCGTTGTATAATTAATGACCAGTCCGACAGCTTAACTATAAAGGTTAGTTAAGCTTTGTAACATGTTTCTTCCATAATAACATGTCAAATGCATTCTTGGTTGTACACATGGAGGCCTGATTTCTCCCTGTTTTATTACATTAACTAATCACACTAGCAAATAAATTGCCCTGTTTCAAACTAATGACATCAACTTAATGCACATTTTCAAATTAAAGGATTTTGTGATGTCCATTCATTACGGATCCAACACCGTCATTGAAACCTCTTGGCTTTGGCGCTGTGGAAAGTCAGATTACCGCTTTTTATAGTAAGCAGCTTTCCGTCAGCTTTCCTTCTTTGCTGCACTACCGCTCCATACGGTTTCACTTCCTTTATGCGAGGAAAACGCTTTTTTTACCGAGTTCCGCCCGCTGGCCTATTGGGATAGTCTTGAGAATCAAATTAGGCATGACTGGAGCGTATGATGTCGATGGCCCGAGGTAGCACTTTTATATCTTTTTTTTTGTAAAAAAAACTAGCTTAATTATTGGAGTTTTTTCCTAATTGATGTTAAAAAAATTATTGACCAAATTATGATAAAATTAAAAACATTTAGCAAAATACTGGTTTAGTTTGAATCATGGTTAGCAAAATCCTCATGACTTGGCTACTTTACAGAGGCAGATCCAGGAATCTGAGATGCCCTGGGCTGAATAGAAATTATACTAGGCTTAAATATTAGAGGCGTGAGTTAAATGTGAAAAATGGAAAAAATCACACTAAGAAAATTGAAAATTTTCTAAGTTGCTCTGGACTTCAGCCTATCATAGACCGTACATAGATCCTCCCCTGCTACTTTAGTTTGAATTCGGAAAGAAGGCAAGTATGCGCTAAGGCGCTTGTCAAAAGAAGGCAATCATGGATTCATGGGTAGGAGAGATGGTAAGGTTAAAAATTCTTATTCCCTCTGTTCCGAAAATGGAAGGCTAATCAAACTTATGTTCATAAGAAACCGATTTTTTTATAAGAATATTACTAAAATAAAACTTATTTACATAAATATGACTATTCATTACTAAAACTTAATGCTGTGGTAACTTAAGTTCAAAACTTGAATATGAATTACTATAATTTCATTACTACTCTAGTAATGAATCATATTAATGTAAACCATATTTATTTTAGTCATATTTATGTAATTATTTTCTTTTGTATATACAAAATTTAAAGAAATATGAAAACCATATTAGTTTTTTCAAAGGATCATACGAAGTATTAGTTAAAAAGGCTGGTCGCAATCATACTCAATCAACAAACCTAATCATAAGCTAATATTTTTTAAAAAAAATCCAAAGACATGATTGAGATTGCTTTTTAGGTCCAAATATATTCTTAAATATATTCAACTGCTAAAATTAAGATATGAAATGAAAGAATATAGATTCATATATTTTCTTTCATTTAAAGTAACAATAAAATTTGGCATTCTTTTACAAACAAATTTATAAAAATACTTCGAGGCCGTTTGATAACACTGTTTTTTGGCTTATCTAAAATTTCCCGAGTAGTATTTTAGAGTAGCAAAGTAGACTAAGTTTAAAAATTAAATGTTGGGATTATATATAGGAATTATTTGTTACTAGTATATCTCTTCTCCTCCACTTTAGAAACTATAGGAATTTATTTATAATCGATCACTTCGAACCATTATCGGCGGAAGGTCCCTAAATGCCCAACGTTCCTTTGCAATAAATGGACGGTTTTTTTGGACGAATCAATGCCAACGAGCTGGACATTGATTGCCAACGTTCATATCCATGAACGTGTTATCAAACGGCCTCGAAGTATTTAGTTGTAAAAGAATGCCAAATTTTAGAGTGTTATCAGCCAACTTTTCACCAAACACGTAACTTTTGCCTGTGCGCGCTGAGTTGTGTAATAAGCAGAAAAAGTAAGGTTGAAGTTACTTTTCTGGCTGTATTGGCTGAAGTTACTATGACCAGTTTAGCTATTTTTACATATAATTTTTTCTTTATTTATTAATAAAATATTTTTTAAAAATATTTTTTTTCTTAAAACAACAGAACCAGCCAATTCAGCCAGAACTTCATAAATTTCAACAGAATCAGCCAAAACAGCCGATTTTGATCTACCAAACGGCTCTTGATTGGACACTATTTTAGGTGTAAAATTTGGCCATATTTGACAGCTACAAAGCATGGCATCGAGTGCACGTGGAATCTGTCACCCTCCCCTCTGCCAACCGCAACCCATTACAGCCACCACTACCCACCCATCCCCACCGCCACTCACCAACTAAAAACGAATCAAAATTAAACCCCTACCTGAAGCTACAAAATCACCCTAAAACCCTCCACAAAAACCATCGGACCTTCGTACTACATACAGACAGGAACGAAAATGGAAGACTCGAGATCGAAATCATTCAGCGATTCCAAGGCGCAGGTGGCAGATTCGTTCGGCTTCTCAAACCCTAACTCTGCCGGCCATCAGGATCTCAGGTGCTACAGTGCTTCGTATGCCACCGCATCTTCGAACAGCAACGGCGGCAGTACTGCCCCGACGAAGTCGGGATCGGGAGATGGGAATCTGAAGAAGGGGAAGTCAATGAATGGATGGGTGTTCGGCGACCCTGAGCTGCAGAGGAAGAAGAGGGTGGCTAGCTATAAGGCTTATACTGTTGAGGGGAAGCTGAAGGGGTCATTGCGGAAGAGCTTTAGGTGGATTAAGGAGAGGTATGCTCAGGTAGTGTATGGCAGGAGGTGAGATTAGATCAAATCAGATTTTAACTTTCTTCCTACTTTTCCTGAATACTGCATCTTTTCTCTTCTTTTTTCCATGTTTGATTGTTGTTTTTAGAGTGTCTTAGATATTGTTAATATGTATTCACAGCCTTGCATAAGAATTAAGAAATGGTATGGAATATGGATGCTGATTTAGCTTTCCTGATTAGATGTAATCTAGAGTATCATTTAATTAATTGTTCTCTATTGATAACAATTACTCTGCTCTAAATCTTCAATAATGGTTCTGTGTATATACATCAATAAGAAATTAATATCCTTTATGGTTTTCATAGATTTTTTCCTTTCACGTTTACCATTCCAGCAACAAATATTTCATCAAAAAAGAACTTAGTTCTATTCTAGAAAGTAAATGTTTCCTTAAAACTACATTGAAACTAAGCCCTTAAGACTATGGTTAGCATTTTGCCTTTCAATATATAATGAATACAAAATTTGAGAGGAGTTTGGTTAATTCCTTGAAAAGTATTTTCCATGAGAGCATTTGGTTAATTCGTGTAGCTCGTGGAATGGGATTCTCTGATTTTAAGCAACCAAACAAAAACAGTTTTCCTTAGCTAGTGAATTTGTGTTTGGTTGCCTCAATGAGGGGAGTCGATCAAATTCTCTACTTTCAGTTGTTGCAAACAAGGATGCTCCAAACGTGTTAAGTTGTTTGGGTTTTCACTTTCGTATTTGCCGAACACATTTGGAAAATACCTAACCAACTATCATGCTTAGAATTGAAGTGAGAATTGTCATCAACAGCTTCCCTGCGTTAAATTTGTTGTCAAATATCACTTCTCTCCCTAATCCCGGTCTTCTTGGTTCTTAAAAACTAGAGCAGCAAAGCTGAAAGTTTGATCGCTGAAATCACATGAAAAATCTTCTCAGGTGTATTTCAGCCATTACTTTATTTTATTAATAAAATACTATGTACATTTCAAATACATAGTACTACGTAATTACTACGTATTTAATAGTTCAGCCTATTTACCAACTTAGAGCCGGTTTTGGTTTGGTAACTACGAAGTTTCGTGAATCCGTTGAATCTGTTGAACTGCTGTAGTTATGATTGAAAAGTTCAGGTGAATATATTGAAGGTTGGTGCTAATCGTACACATAAATTGTACTTTTTTTGTGCATATTTTTAGTTGTCTGTGTATATAGACAATTAGGAGGTGTGTAAAAGAAATGTGTACAAGTTATATCAAAATATGGAAAAACTACCGCTAACATATACTCCCTCAGTCCCAAATTGTAAGATACATTTACTATTCACTTGGTCAACATAAATCACTCCTAAACTTTTATTTTATATATCAAAAGTTTATGAAGTTTGAATTATTTTTTGCAGGTTTTGTAGCGGATTTAATGTAGTTTTTGAATATGCAAATTTTATTTTCTAGAACTAATTTGGGTGTTGACAGGGATCAATTTGCTTTATCGTCAGTCAAACATCGTAAACCGAAATGTATCTTACAAATTGGGACGGAGGGAGTATGTCGTACTACGTACTACATATATATTATAAATAAATCGATAACAGTCAAATAAACTCTTCTACTATTGTGCTAAAAATGTATCATACGAGGATGCTTACTTTGAAAAAGGGATAAGGGTCAGTTTGGTCCTCGAAGTTACAAAAAAGGGGTCAAATAAGTCCTTATATAGAAATTTTTGTCCGGACGTGCCATTTGAGGTGGCTCCCGGTGGAATTTTTTGATGAAATTTTTTGAGCATTTTATTTATTAAGTCTAGTTTACTCATACCAAATTTCAAATAAAAATTCAATCGGGAAGACATTCAAATGAATTCTTGAAGATAACTGTGCCGTTAAAAGCGCAGTTATCTTCCAGAATTCATTTGAATGTCTCCCCGATTGAATTGTTAGCTGAAATTTGGTTTGAGTAAACTAGACTTAATGAATAAGATGCTCAAAAAAATTCATCAAAAAAATCTATCGGGAGCCACCTCAAATAGCACGTCCGGACAGAATCTTCTATATAAGGACTTATTTGATCCCTTTTTTGCAACTTCGAGGACCAAACTGACCCTTTACTCCTTTGAAAAAATAGTCACTCAAACCATTTAACCTGCCATAGCAGGTTATTTTTGAATAATTGAATTAGAAAAATTAATAAATCTTATAAAAATTCATATGAATTTAAAAAATAATGTAACAATATTATTATATAAAGTCATAAAAACACGATAAAAAAAAGTCATAAAAACGAAAAAAACTAATTTAAAAATGTTTAAAAAAAGAAACAATGAAAAAAGTGAATATGTAAAATATATTAAATTTAAATTTGAAAACTTTTAAAAAGATGTACTCCCTCCGTCCCCTTTTAAATGTCCCGTTTTACCATATTGGGATGTCTCTATTTAATTGTCCCATACCTTATTTGGTAAACTTTGTGTGGCTCAAAATCATTCTTACTTTATTCTTACTTTATCAATTAATATCAACCACACAAACTCACTTTTCTTAAAACTCGTGCCACCATCTCCCGTTCCATTTAAAAGGGGACGGAAGGAGTAGAATATAAAAATAATTCCACAAAATGACAACAATATTGAGTTTCACATTCTTAAATTGTTTTTTTTGTGATCACATTCTTAAATTGTTGAGTTATTTTATTTATATTTATTCGATCTTTAAGAATTTCTTTTCGAGTTTTTTAATATAAAAAGCCTGCAATTACAAGTTGAAAACCAGTTATATGGCTAGATTGAATGACATTTTAAAAGTAAACGTACTTCAATGCTTTTTCAGTTATATGGCTAGATTGAATGACATTTTAAAAGTAAACGTATTTCAATCATGCTTTTTTTAGTATAGGGGTTTAAGTGATGGTTTGAGTATAATAGGTCCATTTAACCATTTTCTCCAAATAAAATTCAAGAAAAACATGTGGTGAAAAATCAAGAGAAAGGAAGCTAAAATTACCATCTTCGACAGCTCTAGTCAAAAAATTAATTTTAAATATACTCCGTACTTATTATGATAACTATATGATTCAATGATGAATTACTAATTGATATCATGCATATTCCTTTTGTATGTACGAAAATAAATCGAGCAAATAATGACATTGTTCGGATAATCGGATTGAATATAATTATGAACAATTGTCGAAAATCTACAAAACACCGGACACAAAAACAATCAAGAGTCTCGCTTCATGTACATGCCCGATTACATGCCGGTAAAATTGTCTATAACTCTATATATAGACAATTTGACCGGCATTTTAAGAGAAAAATCGATTTCCACACATATAAAAATAAAAAATTGTCTGGATCAAAGATGTTATAGACGAGATTTTTTCATAAAACATATGTGGTGCAAACAATTTTAAGCGAGAATTTTAAACTAGAATTTTAAAATATTTGTGATATTGACAAATTTTTTATTTTTGTTTGTGCAAAAATCAATTTTCTTCATAAAACACTGATGAAACTGTCTGTACATAGACAATTCGACTAGAGTGCAACCCGACGTGTAAAAACTTGCGTGTATACCACGAGAATTTTCGAACGGCGAATCAACCCTGGGCTAGGCATGGACCCAGTTCGGGCCGCCCGGCCCGGGACCGGCCCGCCACTGTGCGGGCTGAGAACCGGCCCGGTTCTCGATTCCGGGTCCGGGTCGGGCCTAGGCCCGGTGGGGGGGCGGGTCCGGGCTCGGGCCTTGTATTTGGCGAACCGGCCCGGCCGGGTCAGGCCCGGGCCGAATTGATTTTTTTTTATTTTTTTTTCATTTTTTGGGGTTAGCTGGGTTGGGTTTGATGGTTAGGAGGGGTTTGGGGGGGTGGGGGGTGAAGGGGGGGGGGGGGTTAGGAAAGCAAAAGAAAAAAAAAATTGACCGAACCGGAGGCCCGACCCGGCCCGGCCCGGACCCGGTGGCTACCCGGGCCTTCCTTCCCAAAAAAAAGCCCGGCCGGGCCCGGCCCGAAACCGGAACCGACCCGACCCGGCCCGGGTCCATGACTATCCTGGGCTGAATAGGAATTATACTAGGCTTAAATATTAGAAGGATGAGCTAAATGCGAAAAATGAAAAAAAACTAAAAAAATCTCAGTTGCCCTAGGCTTCAATCTACTATAACCCGTACATAGATTCTCCTCTACTCATAGTTATACAGTTATACTCACAAATTTATACATTTATATTTTGTGTGATGTATGTAGTACAAAATACTCCTGAGAATTTATTGTGCCAAACACCAAGAGCCCCACGACTCGACAAAACATAAGGGGATGTAATTAATTGATGGCAACTCAGCTAAATACAAAATACTATCAATAATTTACATTTGGGGAGGGTGAAGATCATTATGGATGAGCGTGCCTTCGTTTTAACAAAAAGTGGATTAGTGGAGAGCTTCATTTATTTCATCATTTGTACATTATCTGGAGTTGTCGGATGACGAGACACTTTCTTCCCCAACTAATCTCTACTAAAAACACCTGCAATGTCATTTCATCCGTTTAATCAATTGACTACACCTACAATAACGATATGCTTTCATTCTGATAAATACAACTCTAAAAGATAGCAGTCACTGCTCTTAATTGTTCTGTTTAATTGTTAAGGCTTTTGTTGACTTCAAAATTTCAATCATCATATTTTAATGAAACAAAATGATTATCGAAACCCTAGATTCAATCATACTTTGTTAGTTATTTCACTCTTTCTTTTTTGGATGGTAGAGGTACTACTTTTGTGAGGCCTGATCCTGTCCAGCCGGAGGGACAGGACCCGCCGTCCGGCCGTCTCCATTTGGGGCCCTTCCCGGTGGAATTTTTTGCTAAAATTTTTTGAGCATGTTTTACATGAAGTCTAGTTTATCCATACCAAATTTCAGCTAAAAATTCAATCGGGAAGGCAGTCAAATGATTTTTGGAATTTAACTGCGCAGTTTATATACATATAAAACTCAGTTATCTTCCAAAAATCATTTGAGTGCCTCCCCGGTTGAATGTTCATCAAAAAATTCCACCGGGAAGGACCTCTGATGGCCTTGGCCAGACGGTCCCTCCCGTCCCTCCGGAGGGACCTGATCTTTTCTACTACTTTTGTTTACCAAATTCTCTACTACTTAAGTTGGAAAGAAATGCACGGAACAAAGACTAAAAAGTAAAACCACAACCACTCTTTAATAGAGACGTGTCCGGCCATGCTAGAAAGAGTTGCATTCTAGCTTATAACCCATAGTATTTACAACATTTTCCCACACTTTCCTTTTTGGGATATATTTACAACACTTTCCTA